TAATAATAATAATAATAATAATAATAATAATAATAATAATAATAGGAAAGCAGCGAAAGGGCCTGTATCTCTAAATTTGACCGATCTCAACATTTCTATTTACTTTAAAATATTTTACCAAATCAAATGGGATCTAACCTCAGTATGTATGCTTTATATTCCAGGCTAAGCTATCTTACTTCTAACAGAGCAACTGAAGTATTCCTTTTCATTCATTATCACTTTCAATTTATCCCCTAATTGGATGGGTTTAATGTTCCTTCCCTCCCTACATGAGGAGTCCCCTCCGTCAACACCTGTGGATCAGCGAAGTCAAAACTCTCCCAAAATAGGACAGGGATAGTGTGCAGTTTATACAAGTGCAGCTTTCTCAGTGGAATTTTATGGAGCGCCCCTGTGGTGTGAAGTGGGGGCTTGGGAGATCCGGGTTCTAGTCCCGCTCAGCCATGGAGCCCCCTGGGTGACTTTGGGCCAGTCACTGGCTCTCAGTCCAACCTACCTCACAGGGCTGTTGTTGCGGGGATAAAATGGACCTATGTAAGCCACCTTGGGTTCTTCACAACAGGAAAAGGTGCAATATAAATGCAATGTACTAGCAACAACAGGGAAATTAGGAACAGATAATACTCTGTAAGTTCCCTGATAGATAATCAAATCAGCCTTCTCTCAATCAAGTTCCCCCTGATCATTGGTTATGCTAGCTAGGGCTGATGGGAGGTGTAGTCCAAAACATCTAGAAGACACCAGGTTGTGAAGGGCTAGATTAAATTTCTGCTCCAAATAGACTCTTTCACACACTCAGAACATGTGCACCATCTCTCTTCAATAAAAGTCTTTTGGGGCTCATCTATCTGAGGCGTTTTCCAAGCTGTTTTGCAAAGTTGCTCCTTCCTTGGAATTCTCACCCCTGTCAGAGCCTGCTTTTTTGCCGGGAGTTCCTCACAAGTCCTCCACCAGCATTCATTGTGCCTTCTTCCGGAGAAGTCGTACCGATCTGCAGCAATTCAATCTATATTTGGAGAAGCTGGTTTTGCCCCTCTCCTGCACGATGTGGAAGTCTGATTGCTCGGAGTATAGGACCTCCTGCTTTGTTGCACTACTGTTTCAATCTCTCCCACGAGTTCCAGGTGCCCCAGGAAGATTTTGCTAGGATCGTTCTGACACTGTTGCACATTTTCTGCCTGTGGCCCAGTCTCTCGCTGCTGAGAATTTGCATCCTTCTCATCTGAAGAGAAAGGAGGAGAGGAATTTTATCCTCTGCAGTTCTCCCATGGGCATCTTCTGCAGGCCTCTTTTCTGTCTTCTGCCGACTCAGATTCTGCGCAGCTTGTATCCAGGCACTCTGCAATTTCTTTTATTTCTAGTCATGCATTGCACCAAGGAGCTAAACAATGTTCTGGACCTCATGTGATTGTTTTCATTCCACAGGTAAACCCTCTGACAACGGAGGAAGGGACCAAGGGGAAAAGTCGAGCTTGTGAGGCAACAGCAGACCTCCAGCTTAGCATATACGAGAAAACACCTGCCTTTCATACGATTTTCTTTTGTATCGATTCCTCGATGTTGATTTCCACCCACCCGCCAACACATGCAGGACAGTAATATGGATTTTGCTCTGACATTCATCCTAGCAAGCCTAGATTCGAAGATGCACGTTCGAATTTAGTAATGGGACGGGGACAGCACAGAAAAAACTTTTCAAATAAACGATCTCCCTAAGGGGCCAGGACCACAGGGTAGCGTCTCCATTCAAATAAAAAATAAAAAAGGGATGTGGGTTCAAGAGACTGGAGCCCACAGGAAAACTCAGAGCACTGCTGCCGGTTGGAGGGAGCAGAACAAACCCCCGATGGACCGCTGGCCTCATGCTGCAGTTTCTTACGCAGAATTTCAGGACCCTGCTAGAGAGGCAGGACAGCAACATTAGGCCAAAGTGTGCGCTGGACAGACAACTGTATTGCTCTGTGTGGTGATGAGCATGTACGTGGCTGCAGCTTGCAAACCTGCTTGTTCCAAACAAGGTGAAATGCAGTGCTGAACCTTTCTCTAGTAGCCCCTCAGAAATTAGCTCAATTAACGATCAAGGATATAGACGGCTAACAGTCTGTCTTTGTGGCAACTGTTCATTCCACAGTGGGGGCATTTGGAAACTCACTGTCTTCTATGGGTTCTCTGTTCTCTCTTTGACTCGCTGACAAAGTTTCTCTGACACCTGGGAGCTTTCTGAGGCTCTTCTCCAGAATAAATTCTCTGACTTGAACTCTGCTAGTCACGAGCTGTTTCTCCAACCCTCAGAACCATTGTGTGTTTTTCCTCTAATAAGAATTCTCTGACACCTCATCGAACATGCTCTCCACATGTAGCTTTCCCCACGTTTAGGCCAAGGATAACATTTTGTGTGTTCTCGCTGCTGCTGATCTAGATTTGATTTCTGCTGGAAATTGCATTCCCTCCCCATTAAGTTCCACTCCCCAGTCCTGCTTTGGGGCAGTCCTTTCTATCATGCTTGGAGAACAAGGGCTTCTCTTTCCTTCTCTGCATTTGTTTTTTACTGTGAGACATTCCAAGCCCTTGCAAACTCCCTGGATTCATTCTGACCTTTTAGGGCTCCCTCCCCTGTCCCGTCTTGGACTTACATCTTTCCTCATGCATCTCAGCGGTCAATGACACCGACACATTCCCTTGACTTATTTGTGGCATAGTCTGGGATGCATCTTCGGCCTCATTTCTTCCTCGCTGGGAATTCTCTACTTTCAACTGACCTCCCTTCCCGTCACCTATAGAGACAGAGAGAAGAGTATTGTCAATGGTTGGGCAATATCTTTTCTGGGCTTCTGCAACTTCTTTCCTACAGCTTCTTCTTCCACTGTATTTTCATTGCATTCACAATGTTTTATCTTATGTCTTGTATCCCGCCGTTGCTAACATCCAAACCTGTGTGCACTGAACAATGAAAAACTATGTGCTAAGACCAAGGTTGGGTTCAGACAATAGGATGATCTACTCTCAAAGGTTGTGCATGGGTTGTTGAACTGGAGTACGACTGCCTGGCAACGGTGACACACGCGCTGATGACTTCCCGCCTAGACTTCTGTAACGCGCTTTACGTGGGGCTTCCCCTGAAGACGGTCCGAACACTTCAATTGGTGCAAAATAGAGCTGCCAGGTTGCTGACGGGGACGGGGCGTTATGCTCACATGACTCCAGTCCTCCGTCAGCTTCACTGGCTTCCCATTGAAGCCCGGGCCCAATTCAAGGTGATTATGACCTATAAAGCCCTAAACGGCTTGGGTCCTGGCTACCTGAA